TACTCTTCTTTGCATAGCTATAAGATTAGCTTTAGGGAAGTCAATAGGATATCAAGTTTCTAAATGTCTTGTCATCTCTGCCACACTTTTTATTTTGATTGCAGTCACAACTTGATGGAGAAATATTAATAGCAAATTTTTTAACTCTATTTCTTTCTTTCTTTCTTTCAAACTACTTTGGTGCTATCCCTCAATTTGACGTACTTCGAGATTCATCCCTTCTGCACTGCCCCTGGCGATTCATGAACTGGACGAAACCCACGTCGGAAAATTTTCATTTCGGGGGAAAATTACAATAATGGAGGTATGTAAGCATCTGTTTGCTCGGAATAATTAGCATTTTTGCATAATCACCTTATACTTCTCCGACATTTTACCTGCTTTCATATCTGGAAAAACGAGTCACGTTCAAATTTAGCATAATTTATTTGCCAAACCTCAGGATGAGGTAAAAGAATATTGAGTTTTTTGTGAGACCGAACAATGCAGTGTTGATTATTTGACGTTGTAGGAAATATTATATTAGATTTGCTACAAGATTCAACTTCAAATTTGCCATTATTAAATTATAACCAATTTTTTCAATTTCCATTTCTGATACAAAATTTGTCTAAATGCTAATGTAAAGTGCCACTGCTTAGACGAATCTTAACCTTTTATCATGATTCATGTTGCTCAGTTGCTCGAAGGTCGAGGAGTTGATAATATGATGACGATTCTGAAAGCTCAGGTCGCCCACAAGAACGCCTTGATCGCCGCCGTTCAACTGGCATTCAACGCCAGGCCCTCTTTTTTCAACGCCATACAGGACAAAACAAAGTTAGTGTATTTGTTTTATGTATGTGCATTTTCGTATTTCTGTAGATGCGATTATGAGATCCTCATAAAAGTGAGAGGACAAAAAACGCAAAATATGTACTAATGTTTTAAGATGCCTTATTGACTATCAATTAAACTACTCATTGATATTAATTTAAGGAAGCAACAGCTAAGTTTCAAATTGACTTGCCATTAGGCCTAAATTAATACCAACAAAATTAGTAATTTTTAATTGATAACTTTATTAACTGCTATCAATACTTGTGATTAAATGAGCAGTAGTTAATAAACTGGTTTCCACACAACTCTTTATGCCTTTGATGATGATCCTAGATTGAGCCAACAAAATATGCAATTTGAGCTTGTAATTGGCTAATAAGATCCTTTCGTATAGTAGAATTACTACACACATAAAATTGGTCATACAGAGGAAGAATTGTGGAGAAAAATAGGCACACTTGTTGTCGCCATCTTTGATAGAACTCCTAAGGGAAAAAGTCAAATGGGATAAGATGTAGTCAAATACATGAATAATTTAGTATTCACTTTTATCCTCAGACATTGGATGACTAATTACCCGAAAACATATGCACCTATACTATCTAGATCGTTTAGCCAACTCTCTATGTTAAACCTGCAAACATTTTAAAGATTGCTTTAGTTGGCAAAAGTAGGTATAAAAACTGTATTCACCCTAGATGCCTAAGGTGACATGTTCTGATAATTGAATTTTCCCTAATAATATGAATAGGCCTTATTATTCCATGAATTTTACATAACCTTGTTGCCCAAAAAGTGTTTTCATCTAAAATGGATCGAACTGCATTGTCGACTTCGTAAGGCGTCTCATCAGTGTATAATCTCCACGCATTGCCACCATGAGTGGTTCCTAGACACATGACATGAAGACCAGGTATTTTTTTGCTATTATTTATATGCTACTTAAGTATATTTCAAAACTACCAGTAGATTGTGAATAGAGGCTCAACTAGAATATAAGTAATGTAGTCGATTGTGATAGCAAAAACACGTTTGCTTCGTCGACAATCCCAGTAAAAAAATGTGGTGTGGAAATGGCCTTGTCTTCCTTATACTCTTACGTATACTCTGTGATTTATGGGTATTCGTATCAGTGAGGTATTAGTAGACCGTTCTCGTCGAAATTATAAAGTGCACTATAACAACCCGAGGTTGAACTCCACTCTAATCCAGCTTGTAGGAGAATAGCTTCTAGGAAGTAAGGCTAGGTAAAATGGACTGGAATATTCAACTATGCATACTTCATTACTTTATGCCATTTAAGACGAAAATAGCTTTTATTCTATATCTACTATTAGGTTTGAAACCACATAAAGATAGAAGTAGATTTATCATGAATGACATGTTTTAATGAAGATATTTGTACTACTTTAAAGTAGTGCATTTAAATAATAAAAACTATACTCGCTAAGGCTTAATAATTGAAGTAAGGATCTGGTTTTCATTAAATCTCATAGTAGTTGATGTTGTACATGCTTTTGTTTGACTTGAAGTTGTTTGATTTAGGCCACCACAGGCTACATTTCCAGAAAGCGAACTGAGTAAAAATGGCCTGCTGCTACTTCATCAAGCCGTAGTTTTTACGTTGGCACAGTCTTTACGGAGCTTTGCTTCATTTTCAGTAAAAGCATGCCGGTCTCTTTTCTACACTTTACCTAATGTGGCCGTCTAACAATGACTATGTTTTAGAAATAATTACAAGTACAGAACATTCTAGCCGAAACGGAGGGACGGTGTCTCATTGGTAGCCACTAAGCAAGCCTCATTTTAATCATTTTAATTTTTTTTCAGGATTTCTTCACTTTTAGCTTTATATTAAGCAAAAGTCCCTCCAAGTAATAGCATCGCCAATCATACAATTCTGGAGCTTTGTGGTTCTGCCTAATCCGGCAAACTTAATTCCAAATCAAAGCAATTTATTTAAAATTGTAATTATGATTTCTCTAATAATAATACATTACCAGCATTCCAAACATCCGTCTGATGTCAGCATTTTCATGACTACTATGACAGAACGTAGAACACCCAGACCAAGTTGCAAAATGTGTTCCAACTAACCATAAATGAAATTTCATTCAGTGTTTTATTTTTCTATTTTAAGAACTGTCATCGTTACTTTAATTGCTTTATCCTATTCTGTGTCAAACAGGTACAAATTGTTTTGTGAAAACCACATTTTACATTGGAGATCCGCTTAAGTCTACTACTTATGATTAATCAGTCTCCGCCTCTATCACTGTACAGTAGCTATTCTACAT